AATCATCGTCAAAATCAACAAACTTCATGTCCATGTAAGTTCAACATCAAGTCCTTGAATGTTCAACATAGCCATCCAGCTTTGTTGATGCTGGGGATTCCTTGATTATGGGTTTTTCCAATAGCCATCCAGCTTGTTCATTCTCGGGGATTCTTTGTGTTTGGGTTTTTCTAATAGCCATCCAGCTTGTTGATTGCCAGGGATTCTTTGATTTTGGGTTTTTCTAATAGCCATACAACTTGTTGATTGTCGGGGATTTTTTATTTTTGGGTTTTTCCAATAGCCATCCAACTTGTTGATTGTCAGGGATTTTTGATAATTGCCTCTGAGGTAGGCAGGAATCCACTGGGGATTTGTTGATTTTGGAGATGCCATTGAGTAGGCAAATGCTTCATTGGAAGTGAAGACTTTTGGTTGCACTGTTTTGCCTCTGAACAAGTTGATATTCCCTTTTGGGGATGCTAGCTCTTGCTTACCAGGTCTTGCCTATGTATAGGCAAACGACTTCTCTGAGGATATGAGTCTGAAGATTGCCTTTGCAGTAGGCTCATTGGGGATATATTTTTCTTTTTGGTGATCCACCAGGGAATTAGTTGACTTCCTGGGGATCTGGTTTTTTATTTCCCTCTAGGGGATAGAGTCTTGACTCTTTGATTGACGCTGGTGGGAACTGACTTTGTGAAACTCTTATTCTATTGGGGAAATGGAATTTCTGATTCCTTGGTTGGTTGCTTTATTCCCTTTTTTTGTAGTGACCGATTTGGGGATTTATTGGCCTTCCTTTGCCATGACCTTTTTTCTTTTTTGGTATCCGTTAGGGATGACAAGTTTTTCTTTTCTTTTCTTTTCTTTCTTATTGAGCCCTTGAGAGTATGGAGGTTTGACTCCTTGGCTGTTTGATGATGGGATTTTGTGTACCCTTTATTCTCCATTGGGGAATGTGGCGAAGATTTGATTGAGTATGCTTGATGACTCATGTGGTGGCGATGTTGAGCCTTAGGGTGCTATTTTTTATTTTGCCTCTAGAGTAGGCAAGAATCCACTAGGGGATGATTGAGCCTTTGCATCGGCTTTTCTTTGTTGATGTTTGTGCCCTCTTTATTGGGTCGAAGGATGACGGCTAAAGTTTTGGGTTCTTAAAGTTCTTATTTTCTCTGAGTTACTTGATTAATGACGACTTGCTCTATTTTCTTGAGGGGGAGCATTATTTGGAGACTCAGTCTCGGCGACCCTATTTTCAATTACAAACATGGAGCCTAGTCTCCTTATATACATGATTCTTGTTCTTTGTTATTTATCTAAAGCAATTTTTATTTTTTATTTTGACAGAGTCGTTTTATGCGACTACTTGTGTGTGGATGTCCTAAATACAACCTATTCTCTTATTTGATGCATCTAGAAAAGCGACCGACATTCCCCTACTGGACTTTCATAATTATGTTGATGGACTCTTCTTTTTATTCATATTTTTGGTTTAGCCCTAACTTTTTCCTAGATCGCTTTTTTGGGGTTTTCGATCTAGCTGACTGCCTTAATTTTTGCCTAGGATATCTTAGCGGGCTTTTTTCCTTTTTTCTGAGTGCCTTAACTTTTGCCTAGACTGCCCTTTTGGGGTTTTTGATCTATTAGGATGCCCTAATTTTTTGCCTAAGAATATCTTAGTAGGCATTATTTTTTATTTTCATTTTTGCCTTTTTAATGCTTCCTTATTATAGATGCATGATTTGAACTTGACAAAAGGACTTTGCGCATATTTATGATTTATCAATATGGAGGAATTTCCATAAATTGGTAAAGAGAAAAGAAATAAAAGAGAATTTTATTGATATGCATGAGCAAAAGGTTTATTATTTTTACAGAAAGATTACAAAGGGATTTAGAATAATGACCAGCCAAGGTTGGCTACACTGTGTGGGCTTCAACAATCATGTCTTTGATATCTGTACCCCTTGTTCTCCTAGTTGCTTTAGTTGAGATGCTTGAGCCCGGAGTGAAGACTATACAAGTTGCCTGCTTCTAAAAAGGATGTTGCCTTAGTCACCTTTCAGTTTTTGACTAAGATAACCATTGCTCTTAGGGGAGATTTTTTTTCTCTTTTTTTGTTTTGTTTTGAAACCTCTAAATTTTGTCTATGACATATCTTAGCGAGGAATATGGATCCTATCTTTTGCCCAGGATGCCCTTTGTAGGTTTTCATCCTGGCTGGTCTTGAGCAATGTCTTCAAGCATAATATTTCTTCACCGCATCGGAATTGACCGGGTGTTGAAGTTCCTCTCTATCCATGTCAGTGAGGATAAGAGCTCCTCCCAAAAAAAGCTCGCTTAGCCACGAAGGCCCTTCATAATTTGCCGCCCATTTTCCAACTTTATCTTTTTGGGCCAGAAATAATTTTTTTACCACTAAATCCCCCTCATGGTAAATATTGGGGTTGACCTTTTTATCGTAAGCCCTTTTGGTCTTCTTTTGATAGGCTTGTCCCACTACTAGAAAAATGTCAAATAGTAACCGAAATCAGTGACCCAAAAATTTAGTTACTATTAGTGACCAAATCAATAGCCAAATTATTATTTTTTAGTTTAGTAATTGAAATAGTAACAAAATTTTCGGTCACATAAAATTGGTTACTATTTCAATCACTTTATTATTTAATTATTATTTTTAATTAATTTACATTTAATTTATGTAATTATTTTTGTTTTTCAATTATCCGTGGGAAATTTTCATTTTTTTCGCATTTGTAGGATCTGACCTAGCTCCGAAATTTTCATCTCCTTCGCGCTCTGTGTCCTAAATTTTCTTCATCTTATTCACACTGTGTCCCAAATTTTCTTCATCTTCTTCGCGCATTAACCACACTTGTTCGAGCTTAACCTAGACCCTTCATCTCTCCATCCCTAAGCGAATTCGAACCTCAACCCCAACCTCAACCTCGACGAACTCGAGGTCCAAACCCAACTCTAGTAACATTGAACCCTAATCTGAAGTCAAACCCCAATCGTCGTGTTGTCAAACCCAATGCAAACCCATCTAACCTCGAACCCTAACCCAAACCTCGACAGCCTTGAATCCAAGCGACCTGCAACTGTGGTGACATCAAACCCTAACCTAAGCCTCGGTAAACCTAACCCCGGTGACCTCAGTTCCAACCAAAACCCACAAAACCTCGTACTAGAATCCTAACTCTGACGAACTTGAATCCTAACCCGATGACCTCAAATCCCATCCCAAAACTTCACGACCTCTAACCCAAGCATAGGACATCACGAACACGACCTCTATAAACACGTAATGCTTATTCAATCCATTTGAATTTCCTTATTATGTTTTTTATATGTGTTGATGGATGTAGGGGTGGTGCTACGAAAGCAAATTACTTATCTTGATTTATTGGATTACAAATTGGAAACTTCAGTAATAGCTTCTTTAGGTTGGTATTACTAAATCTTTGAATATAATTAGGCCACAACGTTAAATTTACTGGATTACAAATTTGAAACTTGAGTAATAGCTCCTTTAGTATTTGTCATTCTTCCCTGTTTACTTGATGAGTTTTTGTTATCTTCTTTGATTTATGATTGGAATTACGATGAAAATGTGAAAATAGATATATTGGTTGGGCTGAGAGTTTGTAAGTAATCTAGTTTAGTGAAGTGTGTAAGAGGGTTTTCTCTAATACGGTCAAGACCACCATGGAAATACATATTAAATTACTAATGAATAGGACAATTAAAAAACACTTAAAGGTATATGTTTCAAGATTTCAACCAATCTTTAGATGACTTGTGTTTAACTTCCTTTAATTTAATAAAAATAGTGAAAAAAATTGGGTTGGATTCCTTTAGATTTTTTATCTCATGGAGCTGCATATTCCCAAGTAAGATATATATATTCTTTATTTGAAAGTTACATTGAGTTTCATATTCTCATATTCATAAATAGTTATTGAAATTTCACAATATTGAGTTATTTTCTACAGAGGGAAAAATAGTTGTTAATCCTTTGGTAAATCCATCAAATTCTTCAATTTTTGTTTTCTTTTGTCTTTCTATTTTTGTGTTGAAATCTAACTTTGACTAATATATAGGTGAAAGACACTACTAGAAAAATGTCAAATAGTAACCGAAATCAGTGATTGAAAATTTTAGTTACTATTAGTGACTGAATCAGTAACCAAATTATTATTTTTTAATTTAGTAACTGAATTTTTTGTCACGTGAAAATCAGTTACTATTTCAATCACTTTTTATTTAATTTTTATTTTTATTTTTTTATTCATGTAATTAATATCTAATTATTTCGTTACCCTCCCTCGTTTCATCTTCTTCCCACTGACAAGCCTCAAAATTTCATCCCAAATTCATCTTCTTCCCGCTCACCAATCTGTGTAACAATCTTCTTCATTCTCACCATTCTTATCGTCGCGCTCACCATTCTTGTCTGAGCTTAATCACCGTTCGTCTCTCCAACCCCAATCCTCCATCCTTCTGTTCAATTGACCTCAAGCTCAATGAGTTGAAATCCAACCCTTGAATCTCAAACCTTAGTGACCAAAACACCCAATTGAAACCCATTCGACTTCGAACCTCAACCCCAGCCTCAACATCGACGAACTCGAGGCCAAAACCCAAGTCTGGCGACATCGAAACCCAATCTCAAGCTAAACCCTAATCGTCGTGCTGTGAAACCCTACGCAAACCCAGCAAACCTCGAACCCTAACATAGACCCCAAGGACGTCGAACCCTAACCTCGACCCAACCCCATCGATCTTGAACCCCAACCATAACCCTAACCCCGACGACCTCAATTCCAACCAAAACCCAGGAAAAGTCGTATTAGAACCCTAACCCGATAACCTCAAATCCCCTCTAACCCGAGCATAGTACATGACGAGGAGGACATCTATATACACAGTAATGTTAATTCAAACCATTTGAATTTCCTTATTAAATGTAGTTTTACATGGTATGTTTTTTCTATGTGTTAATGGTGGGGGAAATAATGGTGGGCAGTCAAATTCTAGAAACAGGGGGAATCAAAATTTTGAGTCGAAGACCAGTCAGGAAGATCTCGATTGAGAGACTTTCGTGTTTGATATGTAAGTTAAATGTTACCACTTTCTTTAGAGTGTTGAATTTTGGTTCCATCAGACGTTTTGCTTTTGCAAATTATGGTCAAGGTTTTGCATTATGTTGTTCTCTGTTTCTAATGACATATATAAGCTTAGTTAGTTGTAATGTAGAATATATAAGCTTATTTAGTTGTGAAGTTGTAAAATCAACCATTTTTTGACAGCTAAGATGCTTTCGTTTTTTTCTTCTCAGCGAAACCTACCGTTATTTCGACCTTCCTTTCTGTCCTCCATGTTCGTTTCTATCTATTTTTTTATATGTAATTTTTTTGGGAGATAGTATTGTTGGACTCTATATTTGAATTTGAGAGATCAGTTGACCACGGGTTAAACTCGCTCGAATTCAGGAGTACTGGTTACAGTGACTGGAATTTTGTAGCAATGGTTAAGCTTACTTGAATTCGAGCAATCAGTTAAAAAAACTTGTTTGAATATGAGACATATGGTTAAGCTGATATGAATTTGAGACACATGGTTAAATTGATTTGAATTCATGACATCTAGTTAAGATGACTCAAATTCACGATATCTTGTTAAGATAACTCAAATTTGAGCCCTGACTTGAATATGATACATTTGGTAAGCTAATTCAAATTCTTGACATCTGGTTAGGATGACTCAAATTTGATACCATTAGTTTAGATGACTTAAATTTGAGACATAATATCTTAGTTGATTCACTTGCTTGGTGGTATGTATATATGGTTGTTTGGTTTCATTTATTTTTAATTTATGATTTGTGATTATTTGCCAGATGATTTGAAAGAAAAGAAGGAGTCGATTTCTGTTTGCCAGCCTAAGTTATCTAAAGAGGATGTCGCACGGTTCAGATATGTTGTCTTACTGACTGATTTCATAGTAAAATTGGATAGGATTAGCTTACCCTATCCACCATTCTAATATGGTTTTCTAAACACGGTAAAACTTAAAATGCTCAATTAGTCAGTATCATCGTACATGTATAATGTTTTACTTAATAGTGACACTCAATTGTTTTAAATATAAGCTTGTTATCATGATTTTACATTTTTCTATCTAACCAGGCGAAGCTATTTTCATATTCTAAATCAATACAAGTGAGAGCTGATGCAGTCGTGCTTCTTAAGTAGTTGGATTTTCCTATTTGTACATTTTTTATATATAGAAGAATTGTATTTTTCATTTTAGTTATGATAATGGGATTTATCAGCTTAGCTAGTAATTGTTTTCTAAATTATAGTATTGAAGAACTTTCCCCATAATGATTTATTTTGGAGTTTTATGGAGAGCATTGAGCATCCCCCATGTTTCCCTACCTTTTAAAGAGAAATAGCATCATATTTTTCATGGGTGTTATTAATAAATGTTGTATGATGCTAGGTTTTCAATTAATTGGTAGGTTAACAATTTGAAGACCAAGTTATTAGGAAAGTTAGAACAATCTATTGTAGACATTCAATTGAACCCTATAGAAATAAGCAATGCTTTTGGGGATTGTTCTGCCCATGAGGTAACTAGTGCCAAAGTATTATCCTTTTGTTTATTGTTCTTCTCTCTTACCCCTTGATATCTTATATTACTAATTTAGAAGAAAGTGTGGTTGGCATTTCACAATGCCTATTAGTTATCGGGAAACTATCCCTTCCATCAAATTTAAAAAAAAAAAAAAATATATATATATATATAGTTAAGATTGTTCAATAGTGACTCATTTATATATTCCTTTGTTACTAAAACATTTCAAGAACTTTATTATACACCTTGTTGCAAGAGGAGTTAGTACACAAGAAATCTCAAGGTTTTTTAACTTATGTTTGTAGTCGAGCTAGGGATGTAGCATGCACTTCCTGATTTGCATTATTCATCACTAAACTGTGAATAGAAAAAAAAAACCCTCATAAATATACTAGTTTTCTGAGAATGAAGAGATTACATTACATACAAATGAAACTCAACCAAAACACAGAAGTATAGAAACTAAACACGTTAAAATTTCACATCATACAAGATTGTCAAAATCATAGAGAAATTCTAAATAATTATGATTTAATTTTTCTCAAACATTTATTTTTGAAAGTGATGAAGATCTCATTGAAATACTTTGGCAAAGATCTCATTGATTTGATGAAGTCAAAGATGAAGTCAAAAGCAACTTTGCAGTGGACAAAAGTCACTAAGATAAAAGAGTAGATGAATTAGTGTGTCTTCAGCTATGCTTAGGTACAATCATTTTATCTTTTCTGCTGCATGAGGTTTCTTCACTTAAAAGATTTTGCAAAATGTCTCTAAAAATGTTTTTAACAATTAAAAACAAAGTATTTTGACAAAAGCTTTCTTAAACAAGTTTTTAACTGATACAGCTTTGATAGAACCGATTAAAATTACTTAGAATGTTCAGAAAAATGTTTTTACAGTATTTTAATCGATACAACTTGATTTTAATAGGTTAAAACCACTTGGAGTTCAGGGTCATCGATCAGAATATAATTATGACCGATCAGAATCAGATATGATCGATCAAAATTTAATTATGACGGATCAGAATCAGTTATGATCGATCAGAATTTAGTTATGACCGATCAGAAATCTTTTAATCGATTAAATCTCGTTTCAATCGATTAAAACAACTTAGAAAATTTCTACACAGCGTTTTAATCGATTAAAACTTATTTTTATCAGTTAAAATAACTTGAAAAGTTTTACAAGAAAGTTTTGCAGTATTTCAATCGATTGAATCGCGGAACAATCGATTAAATCAACTTAGAAGATTTTTGTAAAGTGTTTTAATTGATACAAACGTTGTCATATCAGTTAAAACAAATCTGTTAAAGAATCAAGAACGTATTAATAGATTAAAAGAAGTTTTAACAGATTAAAACTGCACTTTTAACAGATTAAAAGAATCTTTTAACAGATTAAAAGAATCTTTTAACAGATTAATTAATACAACTTGTTTTGAAAATCTTCTATAAAAACAGAGTTGCTTGAACTTTTTAAACATATATTGAACATCGGTTTTACACATCCTTGAGCAATCAATCAAGCAAACTTTAGCACTCTTTTCAAGAAAGATTCGCATCAATTTTTGAGAAGTTCTTTGAAAATCTTTCTTGAGGCAACTTGATTTCTTTTGAAGAAGAAACACTTACAGCAGAATTGCATAAACTGGTTTGAGCATTCTAGTTTCTTCTTTTTCATTTCATTACATTCTTTCTGTATTGTTTGGTGCCTGGAATTTGGGCACTTGGTTTCTCTACAGCTGGAATTTGGTTGTAGAGGTTATCAAGAACTGGAATTTGGTTCTTGGTGAGAGGTTGAGTGCGGAAGCTGGAATTTGGTTCTTGTGGTAGATTAAGTGTAAGATTGTAAATCTGTAAAACATTTGATCTAGTGGAACCCAGTTGGAATTTGGCTGGAGACTGGACGTAGCCCTGGTATTGGGTGAACCAGTATAAAACACTGGTGATATCTTTCTTAACCTTTCTCTATTTTAATTATGTCGCTGCATTTATATTGATTGATTACTTTGTAATTCAAGAACAGATCTGGAATCTTAATTTTTGAATTAGATAATCTGTTATTTGCGAAAAACTTTTAAAGATCAATTCACCCACCCTCTTGATCTCAGCCTCTTTTTCTAACAATTGGCATCAGAGCGAGGTTCTTGAAAGTTATTCAAGTTCTTCGATCCATGGCTGAAAACAGATTACCGTTTTCTGAGGGAGCTTCTATTAACAGACCTCCACTGTTTTGTGGAACAGATTATCCTTTTTGGAAAATTAGGATGAAGATCTTTATTGAATCCATTGATAGAAATGTTTGGGATGTAATTTCTAATGGCCCTTTAATTACAGAAAAAGAATGGTCCAATCTAAATGATGAAGAAAAAAAAAAGTTCAAAATGATTGCACTGCTAAAAATATTATTACTTATGCACTTAACATGGATGAGTTTTTCAGGGTATCCCAATGCAAATCTGCCAAGGAGATGTGGGATGTTCTTGAGGTTACTCATGAAGGGACAGCAGATGTAAAAAGAGCCTATATAGCATGGGATGACAATGACACTTCATCAACAGACAATTCTGATAATGAAGAAGCCAACTTATGTCTAATGGCAAGTCAAATCCTCAATCCAGCAGTGTAAGTTCTAGTTCTTCTTCAAATTTAGTGAATTATGATTCATTACAAGAAGCATTTAATGAAATGCATGAAGAGGCTAAGAAACTACAAAAAGAAAACGATAGGCTAAAAGGACTAAATAATTGGTTAATAAATAAAGTAGACTCTCTTGAAAAAAGAATACTTGAAGATGAAACTGAATGTGATTTCTTAAAATTAATTCATGATAATTCTGATTGTGCATGTAATAAATCCTGTAATAACTGTTCATAATTACAAAAGAAAAATGATTTTTTATCACAAACTGTTTCAAGGTTTACACAAGGTCAAGCTAATCTTGACGTTTTACTTGGATCTCAAAAACTAATTTTTGACAAATCTGGAATAGGATTTAAATCTAGGATGAAATTCAGAAAAACAAATGTAAATAGGAAATCATACTCTGTGATTAAATGTTTTTACTTGCATGAAAAGAGGTCATTCGGTGAAATACTTGTAGAATTAAAAAGTATGTTATTCCTAAAGGTAGAATGAAGTGGATTCCAAAAATTAATTCATTCCAAATAACCTAATTGGACCCAGGAACTATAAAGGGTACCAGAAATATGCTAAATTTGTTTTGCAGGAACAAAATCGGGAATCCCTTGGAGTTCAAAGCAGCGAATCAGGTTCGATTTCATAAAGCTGATTGTTTTAATTGATATAAAACAATATTAATCGATTAAAATAACTTACGAGAGGATATCAAAAATTATGTCCAGTACCATTTTAATCGATTGAAATGTCGAATTAATTGATTGAAACGTTCTCGAGGTTTTGAGTTTAGTTGTTTTGATCGATTGAAATGAATTTATATCAACTAAAAATACTAAGATGTAAAATTTAATCGATTCCTTTTCATTTTAATCGATTTAAATTCTGTTATCATTTTATTAATTTCATCCTATACAAGAAACAATCGATTCCTTTATGAAATAATCGATTACTTCACTGTAACAGTTTCAAACCTAATATTAGAAGAGCAAATTAATAGGTTAATCAGTTGGTTAATCGATTGATTTGTTTTTGAAAATTAGTTTTATAGCATCAAATTAAAGATTGGTAAGCAAACCAAATTCAAAATCCCAAGTTTTCATGGTAATCAATATCTGCATAAATCTTTTAAAATTTCTTTGACCAGGTCAAACATATTCCCAAGAGAAATTTAGCTGGTACATCCACTGGTCAGAAATCTGTGTTTTTGTCCTCGATCAAGGGGACATGCAATTAAAGTTGTTTTTGCGAGTCGTGTGCTGAAGTAAACTGTAATTCACAAAAAATGGCATCCAGTGAATCTTTAGTTTACTTTCGTGTAGCCCATTGCTCTCGAGTATTCTCTTTACGGTTCAAAGTTCTTCTCCCTTCTTTCCTTGTTCACACGTCTCCGAACCCCTTCTCACGAAAATACAACAAGATGCTTGAGAAGATCTAAGTCAAGAAAGAAGCGGAAAGGAGAGTCTTCCTCTGCTGGAAATCGGGGAGGCCACCTTGAAAATTGGTTCGGTGGTGATAGAGATAAGATGAATAACTTCATCACCAATTTTAGTCAAAAGCAGCTTGTTATCCCCAAATTCATAAGGTTTGCATGGCTGGATGAAGAAGGATTTACTTCATTAAGAAGGAGACTAAAGAGTCAAAAACTGAAGAATGTCCTGGAATTTACTAGCAATATCCAACCAGATCTGGTAAGAGTTTTCTATGCAAATCTCACAATCAGTGGTTCTACTTTAAGGTCTCAGGTAAAAGGAGTCAATTTGGTCATTACTCCTGACATTTGGGATGAAGTTGCTGGCCTCAAAGATGTTGGGGTAAAAATCTCTAGAGGCAATATTGCTGAATTACCAGAGTTTAATAAAACTCAATTTTTTCGCACCTGTCTTAAAGACCAAAATGAATCAGCTAAAATTTTCAATGCTGGGAAGATGAGGCTTGAATCAAGAATTCTTGCCTTCATTATTGCATGGATACTTACTCCAAGGGGGAGTAATCATGCTATACTCAATGAGGGTGATTTGGCTCTCATGTACTTGCATTGAAAACAGGATTCGGGTTAACTGGGTCTATGTTTTTAAAGACCACATGGTAAAAGCCAAGCGGCTTGCTCGATTACAAATTACCTTATGCTTTGTTGATCGAGTAAATTTTTTAGACATTTTGTAGTGGATTTAGAAGGGGAGTATGTAGAAACTCCGAAAGCATCAAATGAGGTTGATGACTCAACCCTACGAAAAATGGGGTTTATTAAAATTGATGATGAATGGATTTCGAAGGTGGATGCTGGGATGTCAGAGGGTGAGGAAGAAGATGAAGATGAAGATCAAGGCCAGATCCCTTCCTCTCCAGCTGCTGCAGAGGTTCCAGAGTC